TTGCTGGACTTTGGCTTCATGTACTAAATTCAGTGTTCAGTTTTTTGCTTTGTGACAACTTTTCCAAAAAAAATAATAATAAAAAAAAAAATATCCAAACTTGTAAACCTAAAAAAGTAAAGAAAATTTGAATGTCTACAATAAATTTTTTGTTGGAGTTTATGCTCTGACATACCTCTGAATAAATTCAAGGGTGCATGCAGCTTCATCCTGATAAGCAAGGTTTAAGTTCTAATAGGTCGCAAACAATGCTGCCAGGCCCTCAACAAACGCCTCTGAACATGGGCCAAGGACAACTTCCCTTTCGACTGACAACATCCACTTGCTTGGGGTCATGGATTCACCTGTAAAAGAAATACAGAAGGACATAGATTAATAAGTGTTGTAAAAGCATGGTTCATGGGTAGTTCATGTTAACTAATAAAGACACTGATACTATAATACTATAAATTAAAAGATAATAAAGACTATGGTTACCAATAAGGAGAGAGAGAGAGGTTCAGAGACAATAACAAATGGAAGAAATATAGGAGTGAGAATAGAACTGTGAAATGGAATACAGGAACAGCGGTGGCAAAAATAGAAATGGAAAGCAAAGAACAGTGTGTATAATAGAGACAGAAGGTAAGGTACATTACCTTGAATGATCAGTGCAGGTGAATCTGGTAATCCATCTCTTTCCATGTCGGCTGCAGTTGCTGCTACCTAAAAAAAATAAAAATATTTTGCATTACCAGTTCAACTTTTAAGACATTAAAAATCAAAATGATATTACTTACATCAGCTTCAATTAGAAGGGTTTCTCTTCTCTCTTTAAAATGGGCCATTAAGAGTTGCAGGATGCACAGGACCAGAGAATTTCCCTTTTGATACTTTGACAGAACAGCATGTACCTCACTGTTTGTTGGCCTTTCTTGAAAAAATCGTAGAATCCTCTTCCCTTTCCCTTCAATGCTCTCCATGACTCTTTGGAGCAGTGTGATGCCAGTAAGCAAATGAAAATGTAAAAAAATACCCTTAAGACAAAACAGGTAAGGCCATGAGTTCTTTAGTTCAGACAGTGGCGGAGGTGGAGTGGTGTTTATATCACGGCGTTGACGGTAATATGTGAGCTCCATCAACTTGTGAAGTTCTCCTCTAATGGCGCCAGACATTCCTTCAGTGGAATGAAGCAGTACCATTTGCTTGCGCTTCTCTTCTAGAGTGTCATCATTTTCTCCTGCAGGAAGCTCCTCTGGCTGCCAACTGACACAACCATATTGATCAGCTGGCCTTCTTGAGCTTTGACTTGTGGTTCTGCATGATAATCGTAGTCGTTCTTTTCTACGACGAGCTAATGTGTTGTTTCTGTTTACATGTTCAACACGGGTTTTAACTTGCAAGAGCAAAGAGGCATACCCACTACCTATTTTTGTTCCATCAGCCAGAACATCAGCAAAACTGTCCGGGTACTGTTTAACAATGTTCTGCACTACAATCTGACACTGTGCCTTTGATGGGTTGACTTCATGTTTTTGCATTTTATTTACTAACATCCTTACTAGCTGCCTTCGATCAGCTGGTGATGGTCTTTTTTTATTTGCAATGGCCAATTTAATTCCAGAAGGCATGACTTCCCAAGGCACTTTAAATGTTTCAGCCCAGGAACAA